GAGTTGGGGAAATATTACAAACGCCGTGTGTGGCTTGGACTGTGCCCTGCTCTATGTAAATGGGCGGCCTGTTGTGCTGCTGCGTGGGTTTGCGGCCGTGAGGCCAGCAAACCCACGCATCAGCGCCGTCGCCAATTACGCAACCACAAACAGCGCACTTGTGGTGCTGTTAACGATTATTTTAATTACGCATGTAATTACTGCACGAGTGTTAAACGCAGTTGGCCACTGGATTGGCTATGAACGCACAAATTAAGGAAGGTTCCCGATGTTTTTTTGTTGTTGTGGGAATTTGTTTTTAGTTTGTCAGTACGACTCAGCAACGGCGTCTTCAAATATTTTCATTTCAAGGGTTCGCAGTTTCAACGCGCGCAGAGAAGCGTACTGCACAGTGAGTGGCATAGCAATCGAATCGGTGTGTAGGCGGTGCAACTGCACCGGGCCCCACACACCAGAGGGTTTGGGTGGCCAAGCGGGAGCAAAATTAGACCGGCGGTTCCATTTTAATCCTTGCACCAGTGATCTGTACCAACCACACTGTGCCATTTACATTCTGCACTATAATTACAACAACAACAACTAATTCATTACTGAATTGACCGTTGGGAGAGATCCAGAGAGAACAGATTCAGTTATCACTCGCCACTGATGTTAGCCGTGCACTCACAACCTCTTGCGCACCCACTCACCAACTCGCCCACACGCCACACGCTCACCCACCAACTCAAATATCCAAAACCGAACACTGGCCCACCCTTAACACGTGGACTTTCGCGACCAATGATAAGATTCATGATTGGTTTATAGGTCAGCTGGCCGCGTGAGTAAAATGTGACTGTGTCATACACTCTCCTCCACCCGACACAGCTAAAACAATAAATACAGGCACATTACCAAATGTTTCAATGTATTATTGTTTCACCACACTGGTATGCCGGAGAACAAATCCACAATATGTAACATGTACAATTGTGAAGTGTTGTGTGCATCTGTTCACGTGACGACTTTGTTTATTAGGCTTTGTCAGGTCGAGAGCGGTGTACGACACGCATTGGCATTGTACTCACGCAGCGATCTGACCCAAATAAATTATGAATTATTCACCCACCCACTCGCCAACCCCAAAAAAATTCTCACCCACCCAAAAAAACACTCAGTCACCCATAAAACACTTACCCATTCACCCAAAAAAACACTCACCCATTAACCCCAAAACACTCACCCATTCACCCAAAAATTATTCACCCAAAAAACACTCACTCACCCACCCACCCAAAAAACACTCACCCAGTCACCCAAAAAACACTCACTTACCAACCCAAACTCACCCAAAAAACACTCACTCGTTAAACACCTCCCCCACCCTCCCATCCACCAATGCATTCATCCACCCAGACACCCACCCGACAATCTACTTAACCAACCCAGGGCTGATCAATCGCTCGCCCTGCCTCAATTTACTTCAGTTTGCAATCAAGACGCAATGATTGCCAACTGCATTCTTTACGGTCATGTATTGTTTATTGTATTGTGGAGCGCGTAATTGTTGGGTTTTTTTTATACGATTTACACGCGCGTTTCTAAGCGGCCATCGCAATATAAAACACACAAACCCACAATTATACCCTGGGAGATCCCTTGTAATTGATTCGGCAAGCTGCTGCTTGTTGTCGTTGTTGTCGTTGTTGTTGTTTACAACAAGAGGAGGGAGACCGTTCCGTCCCATTCATCTCGGAGTCCACTTTGATCCGCCTCCGATCGCGGCGGTGATTGGTGGGCAGCAGCGGCAACAGCAGAGGTAGCAACAGCAGCAGCGGCGGCAGCAGCAGCGGCAGCAGAGGCAGCAGGGGTAGCAGTAGCAGCAGCAGCGGTAGCAGCGGCAGCAGAGGTAGCAGAGGCAGCAGAGGTAGCAGCAGCAGAGGCAGCAGAGGTAGCAGCAGCAGGGGTAGCAGCGGCAGCAGAGGCAGCAGCAGCAGCAGAGGTAGCAGCAGCAGTAGAGGCAGCAGCAGCAGATCCTCTCAAAAGGGGCAAATTAAAAATTCTGATCGTTACTCACGGCCACACATCGCCACTGTTGTCATGGAGATGGAGTGAGAGTGGGTTGGTGGGAGTGAAGGGAGGAGGAGGAGGGCACGCAGTGGAAGAGCCATTAGCATAGACATAAACAGTCCTCCCTTCTGTGGTCTCCATATAAATAAAATATATTGTGTAGTCCTTTTGGCCCATTGGCTTTACCAGACCAATGATATGCAGCAGCAGCAGCTTTTGTTTAAGCAAATTCTGGACCGGCGTTGACCCGGCTATCATCAGAAAAGCCAAGCTAGTTGCGTTCGATTCAATGCTGCCGGGTTGCCCGATGTTAGTGGCAAGAGCACGCCATCTAAACGATGCAGCCCTGTTCAACACAAACTCATCAATCGTTGTTGTGGAGCGTCATGAATACAGTGTTAATGTGTATCGGGTGCTTCAAAAATGCTTTAAAACTGATATGGGACTATCGTTTTTTAAAGCAAAAAGAACAGTTAATACACTTAACATGATAACAAATATATGTCAATAGCTTCAAAATACTCTTTGGTTCTTTCGGTAAAGTCATGTAGATAGAGAAATATCTAATAGATCACGACGTTTCGATAGCAACACAAGCCATCGTCTTCAGGTGAAACAGTTTAAAAATGTCTCCACTTGTGCGCCATCGTTGTCAACGCATGCCTGGAACGTTCTCCAGGTGGTCTCCAGAGACCGGAGGAGACAGCACATTCATTGCGCTAGTTGCGCATTCTCGGAAGCGTTAATACTTTTTTGAAGCACCCTGTACAACCAATACAGATGACACGCGTTCAACGTTTCAGTCAATGAACCCCTGCTGGGCCTTCCACACCAATATCGCTCGACAGGCAGCACGTGCGCGGACCAATGGCGTTTGCGATCGGCGCTCATTCGCCAGTGCCCTCCACTGCGTCACTGAATGGAGTGTTTACGTGGGAGGGGGCGGGGCGGGAGAGGGGAGGGGGAGGAGGGGGGGAGTTGGGGGGCACGACCTTCAGGGTGGGGTGGGGGGAGGTATGACCGAAATCACAACAAGGCCGGTGCAGCTGCCTACGCACACACCGTGGTGCTGTCAAAACCTCCCTCTTGCGGGTGGGAGTGTGGCGCAGTGCGTGGGGTCACCCTCGCTTCAACCTGCACGCTGCTTTCTCGCACATGGCGCACAACGCCAGCGGCTCGTGGTGTCTGAGCGTCCCCACCCCCCCCCACCCCCTTTTTTTTCGTCAGCCATGGCCAATCCACTGCTGGATAAATAAGGCAGTTCTGTATTGGGCCGTGTTGATAAACGTGCACACGCAGAGGTTCTCACGACAACTGAGGCACGCGTTGTGGTGGAAATAAATGCTGATTACGGGGCCACTAGCATATAACTATCACCACTATCATGATGAACATCATCATCGTCGTCGTGGCAGCGGGAGGTCTTGTTGAGGTAATTGAGACGCCAATGGAAGCTCCCCCAACCTGAACGCAACATCACGGCACTCCATCCCAGCGTGAGCGGCGATCGCCACCGCCGGCCGATGAGAACACCTCCTGCGAAGCCGAATTATTTTATGATCCTACCCACCGGCCATAGCGTTGACCACCCCACTCATCCTCTCAACCCCGAGAATGCTCACCCAACTAGCCAGTTCTATTCCCCACCAAAACCCAAGCAACCAACCACCCAGCCATGTAATCCTCCAGAATGTGCAACCACAGCACACCTACTCAACCTACCGAATCAATCACACACCCAGAAGCACACTCAACCACCCACCATCTCACCCAGCAGCACACCCAACCCCCCACCATCTCACCCAGCAGCACACCCAACCACCCACCATCTCACCCAACCACCCACCATCTCACCCAGCAGCACACCCAACCACCCACTATCTCACCCAGCAGCACACTCAACCACCCACCTTATCACCCAGCAGCACACCCAACCACCCACCATCTCACCCAGCAGCACACCCAACCACCTACTATCTCACCCAGCAGCACACTCAACCATCCACTATCTCACCCAGCAGCACACCCAACCACCTACTATCTCACCCAGCAGCACACTCAACTAACTGACAAAATCACCTATGCACTTATCAACCAACTCACCGACGCACCCAACCGCTCGCTGAACCGCACGCCGAACTGCCCACACACATCAAGCAGCGTCAATCGTTGGGAGGATGAGGAGGGCGGAGGATGAGGAAGAGAGGCAGCGAGGGAGGGAGGGACGCTTTGGTCGCTCGCCCAGGCTCCACTCTCGCCGCGCGTTCGGCGCGTTCTCGCCAAACGAGCCGAGTGGTCCCCACGCCCCGGAGCAATTCATTAGGAGCCACCGCGGCGCTGATGTTGGACACGCGCAGTGAGCGGCGCCCGTCACTCGCACCAGCGCAGCCCGAGTGCCTTACTCAAGCTCCGCAGTGCCGCCGTACACGCCAGCCCTTCCACTCATCCACCCAATCACCCACCCGCTCGCTCGCTCACTCACCGACCCACCAATACGGCCACACACTGAATTACCCATCCACCATCCCAATTACTTAGCCACCCTTCTACCCACAAACCCACCAACGTATACACCAACGCACCCACTGCCCACTCACGAAACCATCCATTTAATTATCCACTTACACAATCATATACCCACCCATCCAACCAAACACTCGCCCTATCAAATGAAGTTTTCACCTCGTGAAACAAAATAAAAACTCATCCACCGAACCGTACACTCACCCAACCGCTCGCAAGCAAGCCCTGCTTCGCCCCAAACTGGAGAGCGCACCGCGGCTTGGCTCTGGCTCGGCATGGCAAATCGCCAGTGGAAAAAAAAAAACCCCGTACACGATGGCTCCCCCCCCCCCATCCCACGCAGGCTCGGCTCGGTGTGACACTCGAAAAGGGGCGCGCGCGTTGTGAGTGGTGGAACGATTGTTGTTCGTGTGCCCGCGTGTCCGCAGGACAGCTTCCCCGCGCGGTTCGGCGGCGTGCACTTTGTGAACCAGCCGTGGTACATCCACGCCCTCTACACCATGATCCGCCCGTTCCTCAAGGACAAGACCAGGAAGCGGGTGAGTCCCGCGGAGCGAGACTGCCGCCCGTGCGTCACCGGCGCGGTCTCATTTTGCGCGACGCTGGCCTCGTGGCCTGCTCCGTCCCGCGTCACTAGGATTGTTACGGCTATTTTGTGAGTTTTCACTCAATTTGGATTTTTTCCATGGCCGTCTCACCCATTCGAGCAACGTATGCAGTCTTGAGGCTGCTTAGCGTCTCAGATCTGACAAGACCGGGTGCATTGTGGGCGGTGTGGTTCGAAGCGTGCTATTCTGTTCTTGCGTATGACAGCAATAAATGCCAATCTCGAAGTCTGCTAGCCACGACAGGGCTTCGGGAGAGAGTTGGTGTGGATTTACTATCCCTGCACTGACGGAGCGCAGTCTGCAACTGCAGTGGTTTACTCTATGGTCCTCAGTATGAGTTGCATGGCCACAATCGCACTACTCAGGCTTGTCTTCAATTTTCCACGAATGAATGAGATGTGTGCATTGGCCTGTTGACAGGGCACAGACATTAACATTTATCAGCCGAGTTCTTTTCCTCTACACCCCATTGAACAACCAAGGGATGTGTCCATCTCCTCCCACCATCACCATAACCATCATCATCCATGACCGATCCGTTGGTGGATGAAGGCCTCCCGAAATCCCATTACCATTTCTCGCGGGCTGCAGCGATGCAACAATCCACCTAGCTCCTGCACAGGAGCTAATTTCATGAGTCCATATCCGCGATGTGGCGTCCTTGGAGGTCTTCCTTCCACCGGCCACCGCCGTGTCCTGCCCACGTCCACTTGCCCTTCCTATCAATGGCGTCTCCTTTTTCTTTAGACACAGTGGCTGAGTGCAGGCCCAACACGTCAAGTGGTCAGTAACAAACAGTGCGTTTCCTGAATTGAGCAAGGTTATTATTATTGTTATAATAGCTTGGGGGAGAAAGAGACGATGGTGGAAGGAGGGAATTCCAAAGTGGAGCAGTGCGAGGGAAGTAGCAGAAAGCGAAGTGTTGTGACCTGCAGTGTGGTGAGTGGGTGGGTGGGTGAGTGTGTTGTTGTGACCTGCAGTGTGGTGAGTGGATGGGTGAGTTGTTGTGACCTGCAGTGTGGTGAGTGTATGGGTGGGTGAGTGTGTTGTTGTGACCTGCAGTGTGGTGAGTGGGTGGGTGGGTGAGTGTGTTGTTGTGACCTGCAGTGTGGTGAGTGGGTGGGTGGGTGAGTGTGTTGTTGTGACCTGTAGTGTGGTGAGTGGATGGGTGAGTTGTTGTGACCTGCAGTGTGGTGAGTGGGTGGGTGGGTGAGTGTGTTGTTGTGACCTGCAGTGTGGTGAGTGGGTGGGTGAGTTGTTGTGACCTGCAGTGTGGTGAGTGGGTGGGTGAGTGTGTTGTGACCTGCAGTGTGGTAAGTGGGTGGGTGGGTGAGTGTGTTGTTGTGACCTGCAGTGTGGTGAGTGGGTGGGTGGGTGAGTGTGTTGTTGTGACCTGCAGTGTGGTGAGTGGGTGAGTTGGTGAGTGTTGTTGTGACCTGCAGTGTGGTGGGTGGGTGAGTGGGTGAGTGTTGTTGTGACCTGCAGTGTGGTGAGTGGGTGGGTGAGTGTGTTGTGACCTGCAGTGTGGTGAGTGGGTGGGTGGGTGAGTGTGTTGTTGTGACCTGCAGTGAGGTGAGTGGGTGGGTGGGTGAGTGTGTTGTTGTGACCTGCAGTGAGGTGAGTGGGTGAGTGGGTGAGTGTGTTGTTTTGACCTGCAGTGTGGTGAGTGGGTGAGTGTGTTGTTGTGACCTGCAGTGTGGTGAGTGGGTGAGTGTGTTGTTGTGACCTGCAGTGTGGTGAGTGGGTGAGTGGGTGAGAGTGTTGTTTTGACCTGCAGTGTGGTGAGTGGGTGAGTGGGTGAGTGTGTTGTTGTGACCTGCAGTGAGGTGAGTGGGTGTGTTGTTGTGACCTGCAGTGTGGTGAGTGGGTGAGCGTGTGAGTGTTGTGACCTGCAGTGTGGTGAGTGAAAACAGTGTGGATGAGACGAAACAGTGAGTGTCTGATAGAATTGGAATCAATTGAGTGAAATTCGCCAGAACAGAAACCATGGTTGTAGCAATAGAAGAGTGATATGGAAGCGACTGACCGCCGGTGAGCGAGAGTCAATCGGCGTGTTGTCCGTCTTCGGTGGCTGTCCTAGCTACACGAATTCTCCTGCCGTTCCAGTGGTGCCCCTCCCAGAGATCATCTGTGGTCGCCAAGTGGAAGTAACTCACAACGCCAGTGGAAAAACTCATTTCTTGAGAAGTACTTTTTGTGATTAGTTTGTTGCCCTTCCCCGCACCTCCGATGAGCACAGTTGGCTGCGTGCGGTGCGAAGGAAGTTCAGCGTGCGTACACACGTCAACGCCTTCCCCCACCGTCTGCCTCCCGAGCAGATATTCCTCCACGGCAACAACCTGACGAGCCTGCACCAGCTGCTGCACCCCGAGATGCTCCCCTCGGAGTTCGGGGGGCTGCTGCCCCCCTACGACATGGGCACGTGGGCGCGCACGCTGCTGGGCCCCGACTACGACGACGACACGGAGGGGCGGCACGGCGGCGGGGGTGGCGGCTTCTTCGACGGGAGGCGCGCCTCCGAGAGGATGGGGGGCCCCGTGACGGGGGCGCTAGGAGATGGCGAGGGGGGCCTCGATGGGTCCCCCCGCAACAACATCCGCAGGTGGGAAGGGATAGGGAGGGCAACGACACGGGATGCTAATGATGCACGAACAACAATGCTCGCAAGTGCAACGCGGACAACATCATTTGCAGGTCTCATCCCCATGTTTTTTTTTGTAATTCTCCCTCCAAGTTTACTCCGATTGTGCTTCTGGCAGATGTCACAGAGCTACCCCTGAGATCGCATCATGTGACCTCTGGCCCCACACAAAAGAGAACAACACTTTGCCACGTGCTCTGCTACATGAGAATAATGTGCATCACGTGACAGTCAAACAGATATTCAATTCTCCCAAGCTGAAAATACAGCCGCATTTGGGGCATAAAAAGTGTAATGTCATGGGTTTTTTGTGCCTGGGTGATTGGGGACTCGGCTGAGACCATCAACTCACTGGACTCGAGGACCCGGTTTAATCGCAAGCGGTCAAACCCTGGATTTGAACCCAGGGGTCTCAGCGGTGTCGGCTCACCGCTCTGAAACTCCGACCTTCGAGGTCCTTTCCCTGTTGGCACTCCGAGCCTTGAGCGGCAGAGGCCACGGTTCTCACCGCGCCGGCGCACGTCGCCCCCCCCCCCTCCCCGTCCCAGATCGCAGTCGGCCGTGGAGCCGGGCGTGCTGAAGCGCAGCGCCGACGGCGAGGAGGAGAACATGCAGCCGCTGCTGTCGCTCGACTAGACGTCGCGCCACGCCGCAGCATTGCCGCCGCCGCCGCCGCCGCCAGCACGGAGCGGGTGCTTCAGCGTCTCCGAACTCGCGGGGCCTCGCGCCGAGACTTGCGGCACTGCCACCCCACGGCACGCCGCGTGACGCGTCCGTGCCACACCGCTCCACACCCCGCCAGAACCGCACCCTCGCCACGCTGCTACGCTGGATCACAGGCGGGGGGGGGGGGGGGGGGGCTTCATTTATCACCGAATATTTGTGTTACCGGGTCGCCTGTTGCCCGGAATAGGCGGCGGCGCCGTGACGCACGGTAGCCGCGGCCGTAGGACGATGGGTTACGCCGGGCAGGGGAGCCGTCACCCACCGGAGGCAGCTCCGACACCGCGGGGCAACGTGGCGGCGCCACGTCAACCACTCGGAGCACGGCCCCAGCTCAGACTCCGGTTTCGATCGCGATCAGGAATTCTCCTCAGGTTTGCCGGGTCTGTCCGCCGCGTCCGTCCGTCCGTTCGTCCAGAACACTGTCTGTGTAAACGACCTATTTGAGAACACGGCCGTTGGGAGTTACTGTCACCAAGTTATTATTTTTTAAGGTAAATTCACATTGGCTTTGGTTTTTGGGATTCGACGTGCTCACGAGTGACGTTGGCGCGGTTTTGTGCTGTTCTGCCGGTCAAGCTGATTACGGAAGAAATGTTTACTCCGTGGTGTTACCAACAGCAAACATGATCTGGCCCAGGGGTTCCGCGGGAGGCGTAACAGTGCATTTATTCATCAATTGATATCCTTGGCTCACGATATCATCAATAAAAAGCGATTCTCATTTTCATCGCGATTGAGCTATCACACTCATGTAATGAGATGAAGTATCCATTCAGATTTCTCGTAGGGCAGTGCAAGAGAAAAGCCCACGGAAGCGGACATCAGAGCTTCCACTCTGAATATGACAGTAATTTTCTTTGCATAACAGTCAAAGCAATCGTTTTAGTGTTCAGTGTTTGAATGTAGCCAAATTCAATGTAGACTCAAATTAAAAGTTTTGTGCAGTCATTGGTGACCGAGCTGAGAATATCAACTCACTAATCTGAGAATCCGCTTTTATCACGGGTGGCTGAAATCTGGATTTGAACCCAGGTCCTCAGCAGTGCGGGCTCAGCTCTCCGACCTCTTGAGGCCAGTCAGCCACCTCGATTTACAATAATTCTTACGCTCACGATATGTGGACGGAATCGCACGAGAGTTCACTATTTTCCAATTGGTACACGTGGTATGTAATGGGTTCATGCGACCTCTGCAGTTAATAAGCGTCCGCCACAACCACCGCAATACATAAAAAAGATGACCTAATGGTGACGCGCCATGGAATCGGCATTTAGACGGTGAATCGTTACGCCTCTCATTTTCAGGATGTTCCCTGGATTTTAAAAAAATGTAAAAAAAATGTGAATTGTCCTAACATCCCAGTGCTCTCTTGGGTAAAACAAAAGAATGAGATCGTCGCAATGCACTCGATGTGACCACGTCAACACAAGTGTTGCCAGAAGACGTAGGCCCGGTTACTCTGACCCAGCTGTTCCGGTTCAAATTGAACAACACATTCAGGTTGTAGACAGTGGCGATAAGTGTAGTCTCAAACACCAGGTGATCCTGCAGAGGTGCAGCCCTGCAATTGCTTGCTCACATCACTGCTGGTGGATGGGTCTCCACTCGAGGGAGCTCTATATTCGCCCTCGTTCTAGATCACATATCTTACGCTGCACATCAATTCAGCGTCACGGCCGCTATTTATTTCATTAAAAAGTCATTTTTTTACGCGTCGTAAAAATTGCGACGGTGACTCGGAACGCCCGGCACGCCCTCCGAGTTTTGCTTCTTTTGCCACGCCACTGTACTTCACGAGCCACGAAGCCAGAGAACGTCCTTGAAAACAAATGTTTAGATGTTCATTTTTGTCAATCGCACGAGGGCAAACCGAACCACTTGTTACGCGATGGCCGCATGCAATCTCTTCCGTCAGCTCAGCCAATTAACCAATTAATTTATTATCAGAATTGAGCGCGAGGGGGGGGGAGAGTCAGGGCATAATTCAGCGTGGGGAGATTCAGCGTCGATCGGATGAGGTCGAGCAGACCGAACAGATCAACGGCCCCAAGGCCCTATTATGACTCACAGCGAGCGGGCGAACGTTCACGACTGAACGAATGGTGCCAAAAAAAACGCCACCAAAATCAGTTTCTGCTTTTGACTATAAGTTCCCTGACTTTTGACAACCGCCGGGTCACCTAAAAGCAGAGCTGCCCAGAGTGGTGAAGGGGAAAAAAGGGAGGGGGGGTGGAGGGGGGGCAATTTGCCCCCAGGCCTCCCTCAAAAAGAGGGCCCCACAGCGGGCCTGCTTTAGTCGCTAATGAACAATGAGTCACCACGTGGTATTATTCTGCCCCCGGGCCTCCAACCCCAGGCTCCAACCCGGGGCGGCCCTGCCTAAAAGAGCTAAGTTTACAGAGAGAAATAAGCGTCGCTTTTCAGCAGACTCCCGTTGCGTACAGATATATATTTAAAATAATAAAAACAGTGTTCATTTATAATGCAGGAATAACACAAATGCACAATACGTGCACGTCTCACCTTGTTTTCAAAGCATTGCTTGGCAAATTCTGTACCTACGGCATTTTTGTAAATACGCCCTAAGAGATGCAGATAATCACACACAAGTGTTAGTCTTATTTTTTTAACAATCTCATGCACCATAATGCCATATATACATTATCATCTTCAGAGATTAATTATTAGTATATGCACCAACTCACAAGCAACGCGTACTATATATAAATATATTTAAGTATGACCAGGGCTTCATTTTAACTTTTTTCCAGGTTGCTGGTAGACTGGAATAGTCACGTGACTCATAGTCACAGCAACAGCGAGAAGTACAATGGAGGTGGTGTGCCAGACACTGACATATTTTCTAGGGTCGCCGATCTGGACAAACTCGTCTGAAACTAAGCCCCGAGTATCAACGTTGTCCCAACGGTTCCAACCGCAATCAAACTTTGACCCAACGTTGGCTCAGCGTTGGCCCAACGGTTCCAACCGCAATCCAACGTTGGCCCAACGTTGGCTCAACATTGGCCCAACGGTTCCAAACCGCAATTCAACGTTGGCCCAACATTAGGCCCAACAGTTCCAACCGCAATCCAACGTTGGCCCAACGTTGGCTGAACAGTTCCAACCTCAATGCCAACTTAACTCAACTTTGGCCCAAAGGTTCCAAACCGCAATACAACGTTGGCCCAACGTGGCTACGTTTATTGCGTCGACACTTTCAGATCATGGAAAGTAAGTTATCATGTATTTTGGCAGGTAGGCGAAAGGATAACGAATTAGCCCTGGGATAGCCAATCCGTCTGACGGCGCGGAGGGAACACGGCGTAACACTTTAGCACTCAACGGGTACCATTGCACACAGGCGCTACTGAGCCCGTACGCCCCGACCGCCGGGCTGGTGATTGATGGTGCCGTCTCAGCCTACGAATGGGAATTCCCACGCAGCCTCGCGAGCCGCTCGTAAATTTGAATAAAGAATCAGCTCTGACCGGGAGGTGGTGGGGGGAGAGGGCGGCACGACTGGAGGTATTGCAGGACTCCGAGCACCGGACGCCCGGATATACCTCCATACGACGTCGTGAAATACAAGAGACGGGAATTCGTCCCCGGGACGCGAGTGCACAGGCATACGCACGCAGCCACACACACGTCCAAGCGCACAAAGACGAAGATCCTCTAGAAAGCCTTTACAGACTATTGGGGCAAGTGCCGTTCGCGAGCACCTATGAAGGCCAGGATGGCACACAAGAGGCTGGGTGGCCAGCACCACACGCGGCTGGCTTTGTGTCCTCAATGGCGATGTTTACACATTATATCAGGTATTAATTTGAGGCTAAATCGACCTAGGGGAGGCCCAGAACCGGTTCAGATAAACATCACTGGTGTTGGCCGTGAGACAAAAATCAAACTAGGGTCGCCGGGTTCGTAGCGCGGCGCGCAAACCACTACACTACAAATACACACATACAAGCACATGCACTTACAAATACACACATACAAGCACGTGCACTTACAAGTACACACATAAATGCACACAAGTTACGTACGCGAGACGCATCAAGTTCCTTCTGGGTGAATTCTAAATTCTGGAGATTCTGTGCCCCCAGCGCCGTCCGCAATCGCTTGCAAATTCAGGGTGAATCAAATCCTCGAACCCTGGCTCTAGGCGCTGGATGTGAAAATACCAAATTGAGTTCCTGCCAGTAGAGAGCTCACAGGAACACTGAGAGATTGCCGTGACGTAGATATTCCTCCCCCCCACTCGTGTGTTGTAGCTAGATGCAGACCAACATCGATACACTTCTCAGTGGGGGGGGGGGGGGGGGGGGTGCAAAATTTGAAGCTTTTTTTTAATAGGAACACCTACATTAAATAAAAAATATATTTTATCTGGTGAATATCAACAAAATATCAATAATTGGGGTCTCTAGGGGAGATGGGGGGGAAGTCGTCATTGCCCCCATCTCCCCCCTCCCCCACCGATCTGCCAGTGTTTGTAGCAGCAGCAAAGGTAGGAGACACCGCGATCAAAACGATCTCAGAGATCCACACATTCCTAACCAACGATGTCAAGAGGCAAGTGCCAAAACACCCCACGCAGCGTAGCAAGATAAAGCGTGCGCCGCCATGCGGTGCAGTCTCTTCTCCTGGAACGCCGCGTGTTTTTGCATACAACGCGATGAATGTATTCGGGAACGTTTTTTTTCATATAACGCAGATGCCAATTGGATTAAACGCGATCGAGCGAACGGGACTACGTCGCGCGAGTAGGAATAAGCAGTCGTACGGCTGCCTCGGCGTAGCATCATCACACGAGGCACTGGGATGCCTCTGGATGCTTCCAGATGCTACCCACGCGCCTCGGTCCAGCCTGCGTACGCGTCTCACGCGTTATCGCGGACTGGTGATTTACCCCCCATGTTAAGTATTATTTATTAGAACGTGATTTTCCATAACGCGGTGTTCTTCGGGAACGCAACTACAACCGCGTTTTAGGAGAACGGACTGCAGAGGCATCGCGAGCTGCTGTACCGGGTGACATGAGCGCAGATTCTGACGTGAACCGGCAGGGCCGTGCGCCCTGACACACGGGGTCACTCACGGCAAGAGCTATCCGACATCTCAGTTGTGCTTTTTTTTTATTTGAACACCATCCGGAACTACAGGGCACGTTCAGCTCACATCACCACCACCATCATCAGTCAGGATCAATCAACCGGACAAAGGCCTCCCAAAGCCGTTGCCATCTCTCACGATGTAACGATCTGCCTCGCACCTCCGCGTACGAGCTGAACTCATCGCTCCATCCCTATCAAACACGTTCCATTACTTGGCTTCCACTCCTTCACTATTGTGGGGCCATTAGCATTCCATTTAGCCACGTTTCACGCCCAAACACACTTTTATTTACAGTTTAGATTTCTCCTTTAATCTGCGTATGTTTTATAGTCCATGTGTTGTATGTATGTATGTAGAACTTCTTTCGCACCGTACGTAGCCAACCGCGCTAATCGGAGGTTCTTCTGTCTCTCAATGTCATTCCAAGCAATTTCAAAGCACGCATCTTGGCTAGCAGATACGCGTAAGCCACGCCACAGATATGCCCCAAAACCCAGCGCAGGCTACCACAGTTTGTACTTTCATTCAAGCAGATGATGTTCAAGATTTTCCAATTAATTGGGGTTTCACATCGGTGCTAAACACACCATGAGGGGAGCGATAATCCACACGCGCACACACACACCGCAGGAAATGACATGAAGATATTCAACAATGCACACAGGGACACGTGTTGGATGACGATGGCCTCGAACGATCGCGATGTGGGTGGCAGATTAAGCGCTGCGCCCTTGACGCGTGCACTCTCGCGTTGCCCCCCACCCCACTCCCGTGCGTACACTGCGCACAGAGCAGGAGTCGCCGCGTGATTCGGTGCTACGTACGCTTGCTGAACTTCTTTAGCACCGTACGTAGCCAACCGTGCTAATCGGAGGTGCGGGGGAAGGACGACAAATTAAACACAAAAAGCAGTTGTAAAGAAATTACGTTTCAATCGAGGTTACGTAAAAGTGCGTAGCTCCCAGTGGCTTCCTAATATCGGAAGGAAGAGCTTTCCAAACGGCCGCAGAAGCGCATCTGAAAGCGCGCGATGCGACGACCGTCTTTTGTTCGATGGCCAGTCAAAAGCCGCTGCTGCTGCTGCGAGGATGACCGGGGGAGTTCGCGTGATGATGGTGTATGTCCTCTTTGTTTTTTCGGTAAAGTCATGTAGAACTAATAAAAAAATAAAATTATATAATAGCATACGACGTTTCGATTGCAACACAAGCAATCATCATCAGGTACAGAATTAACACAGACACATCAGGGGACACAGAGAGAGGCGGAGGAGCACACTAAATCAAACAGGGTTTAGCAAACATTATGAAACTATATAAAGCAACACAGACGGTCGGTTAAAACACAACGCATAGTTTCATAATTTTTGCTAAACCCTGTTTGATTTAGTGTGCTCCTCCGCCTCTCTCTGTGTCCCCTGATGTATCTGTGTTAATTCTGTACCTGATGATGATTGCTTGTGTTGCAATCGAAACGTCGTATGCTATTATATAATTTTATTTGTTATTATTTCTACATGACTTTACCGAAAAAAATCAAAGAGTAATTCCTGCAGTCACGAAAGCACCTAATCATGGTGTATGCCCCTTGGCGAGATCAACGAGGTGTTGTGGTTCATTTGTGGCGAGCGTTTTCTTTGTCGTGAGTGCGACCTCATAATGCCGGGAGCGAACAAATCGTAGAAGCCGTCTGATAAACACGGAAGTACAACACGAGGATTTTGCCGCACTGCCCTCTACTGCTCAGCACGTAGCGGCCTGCAAACCCCATGGCAGCCGTGCCGGTGCATTGCTGCTGGTGATGGCTCATCCCAGCGCTGCCCAGGCTCGACTCTGCGTAGCCTCCGAAGATCTGGCGAGATCGGGCAAACTTCGAGTGAAATTTTGTCGCGGACTACAGCCACGGTTAGCGCAGAAAAGAAAATCTTAAATGTCTCAATGGTGAACCGAAAACAAGCACGTACAAAATGATCAATGGGGCAAAGTGAACACGGCACCGCACCGCGTGAATGCCACTGCCTGCCATCATGCGCTCTGGGTACCTTTGCAGGAATGCTAAGTCCGTCGATTTTTCTCGCAGCGAAAGAGCAGAACTCGCCCCCCCCAAGTGTGGACACAAGCGCAGCGCAGTGGCAAGAACAGCAACGATTTATTCTTTGGGCATTCCCACACATCCAACATCCGAGAGCCAAGATCGCATTGTACGTGACGTCCTCGTTCGTTGAACGTCCTCGCTAACCGAAAACGGCGGCCCTAGCATTTACCGCTGATGAAAATAAACGATCCGCATATCGAAGGAACCCAACGGGTTGGGACGAGCGGGCGGGCGAGCGGGCAGGCGAGCGGGCAGGCGACCGGGCGGGTGAGCGAGCGGGTGAGCAA